GGGTTGAGCAGCCATCTCCTGAAGCGTCTGGTGTCACGATTGTAGAGACAGAGTCAGATCTGTATTAGTCAGTGACTTGGGCGTGGACCAAAGAAGCACAAAGGCAGAGTGCAGGAAAGCGGAGTTTGAGAGAGCAAGCTGCAGAGCAGAAGTGAAACGAGTTTTGTCTGTGCTTCGTCTGAGTTTGGTTTGTTTGCCCGAAGTTTTTTGTCAATGCATGCAGTGTGTGCAAAGATTCTCTGTGAGTTGGCCCTTGTCATAGCAACCTGGGGAAGTAGGTGTGAATTCCAGTCGCGCAGGTGAACATTCGTTGGCAAGCCACAGGAGCATGGTTGCTGCTGGCATTTGCAAGACTTCTGTCACTTGGCGGTTCGGCTTCCCGCTACAGCAAATGAGAGTGCGAAACGTCAAAATTGACTGTATTTGCGGCGCTGTGGTGCCTTGAAGCCAGCAATTCTAACTGGGCGTATGTCACAGCGCAAGTAAATGCAGCATTTTTGTCACTTTGAAACCTTTTTCAATCCTACAGGTATGGGGCATGTGCGTGATCGGCAACTTTTCCTCTTTTTCTACGTTATCCTAAGCTCTTTCCTCCTGCCTGGCTTCCTGGCTAACAGGCAGTTTCCGCTCAGAGTCGAAGTTCGTGGCAGGAATCTTGTGGCGCCGGAGGGGGTTGGGGGGGTGGGCGTAGCGCCTCCCCCCCCGTGAGCAAACACGGCTAACGCTTTCAGGTATGCAGTACATTGGTCTGAACTAACGCTCGATAATCTCGTGTTTTCTATTTCGCTCTATTCTTTATCTTCCTTTGCGCCATACTAAGTTGTTGTTTCCTGGCTGCCTGGCGTTCTTTTCTAGAACAACAGCAGCTTCAATGTTCAACGGGCAAAGTCCTTTACCTTCTTTGTTGTCCTTTCCTTACTACTCGTACATTATGCTAAGTTGTTCCTGCTTTCTTCCTTCCTTGCCTTCTGGCTGCCTGGCTTTTCTTTTTAGAACAACAGCAGCATTAATGTTCAACTGTCAGTGAACTTAAAATTTGCGGCAAGAGATTTGCAAAGTACGTGCGGAGTTCCTGGCGCAGGAGGCATGTCTGATGGTTCTTTTCTTCCCTCCCTCCTTGCTTCCTTCTCGACACATCATCGGAAACTACCCACCCCGCAGCACCTCCCTCCCATGAGCACATACGGCTAATGCTTTCAGGTGTGTACTACATTGGTCTCAACTAACGGGAGTTGTTGACATGTTTTATGATTCTTTGTAGCTTATTGTTGTTTAACTGTATTCTTCATTTTCCTTGTGGTCCTTCCTCTGTTACGTTCTTTTTTCCGGCCTTCTTCTGTCCGTGCTTCCTTGCCTCCTGGGTGCCTTGCTTCCATCCTTGCTGCCTTCCTCACTTCCTACCTGGGCGGCGCCTCATCCGCGCACACGGATTTGACTCATCTGCGCGCACACATTTTGTCAGCACTTGCGCCTCATCTGCGTACACACCCGATCGGGGGGACTCAAGTGCGCACACGGGCCCTTTCCCGAATGTTGCTGCGTATTCGAAATTTCACCCCTGCATTGCTCACTGAAAAGGGTCGTCAACTTGGAATGGCCACTTCCTTCTCTAAATTTTACCCTCCAGTGGCTCACCAAAGGGTGAGTCAACTTGGAATAACCTTCTCTAAATGTTACACCTGCCTTGCCCACAAAAGGGTGAGTCAAGTTGAAATGGCAACATCCTTCTCTAAATTTTACCCTCGGGTGGCTGACCAAAGGGTGAGTCAACTTGGAAGGGCAACATCCTTCTCTAAATTTTACCCCTGCATGGCCCACAAAAGGGTGAGTCAAGTTGGAAGGGCAACATTTTTTCCAAATTTTACCCATGCATGGCCCACAAAAGGGTGAGTCAAGTTGGAAGGGCAACATCTCTAAATGTTACACCTGCCTTGCCCACAAAGGGTGAGTCAAGTTGAAATGGCAACATCCTTCTCCCGAATGTTGCTGCTTGTTCGAAATTTCACCCCTGCATTGCTCACTTTAAAAAAAAGGGTCGTCAACTTGGACTGGCCACTTCCTTCTCTAAATTTTACCCTCCAGTGGCTCACCAAAGGGTGAGTCAACTTGGAATAACCTTCTCTAAATGTTACACCTGCCTTGCCCACAAAAGGGTGAGTCAAGTTGAAATGGCAACATCCTTCTCTAAATTTTACCCTCGGGTGGCTGACCAAAGGGTGAGTCAACTTGGAAGGGCAACATCCTTCTCGAAATTTTACCCCTGCGTGGCCCACAAAAGGATGAGTCAAGTTGGAAGGGCAACATCTTTCTCTAAATTTTACCCCTGCATGGCCCACAAAAGGGTGAATCAACTTGGCATGGCCACTTCCCTCTCTAAATTTTAGCCCTGCGTTGCCCACAAAAGGGTGAGTACAGTTGGCGTGACCACTTCCTTCTCTTCACCCTGCCCACAAAAGAGTGAGTCAAGTTGAAATGGCAACATCCTTCTCTAAATTTTATCCCTGCATGGCCCACAAAAGGGTGAGTCAAGTTGAGATGGCGACATCCTCCTCTAAATTTTACCCCTGCATGGCCCACAAAAGGGTGAGTCAAGTTGAAATGGCAACTTGAGGCCGAGGGTAGGTGACGAAAGCTAGCAGGGGTGCATCCGGACTGGTGGGACATCAAGCGGAGTGAGGCAAATGCTCATGAGGTAAAACGTTGTGAACATGTAAGACACACAAACAGCAATGACACAGCCAACCTTAGAATTGAAGTCCCCGATAATTAAGGAAGCGTGGCTGGACTTTGCCACACTGTTCGATGCATCCGATGTGTTCACGAACCTGTGAGCTTGTTGAATCTGTTGCACCGTATCCCAAAACCTCCACGGAGGAGTTGAACCAGTGTGGATGCCATAAGAGGTGCCCAAGAGGTGTCCCAGAGGCAAAACAAAGCTGCTTGCATGATTTGTTTGGTTTCTTCTATCGATGTCATGAACATGTGAGCTTGTTGAATCTGTTGCACCGTATCCCGGAGGAGTTAAGCCAAAGTGGATGCCGTAAGAGATGCCCGAGAGGTGTCCCAGAGGCGTCCGAGGGGGGAGTTGAACGCACGGGGGGGGGGGGGGGGG